ATATGTAAATAAATGAATAAATAAATAAATATATATACAAATGATATGTATATATAACAGAGTTTGGAATAACCTGGTTGCACAGCATTTTCCATTAACATTTCCAACGGCTTCCCCACTACCTCTTATTCAGGTGAGTGCTGAAGGATTCGCAAGAGCGGATGCAGCGGCTTCAAGGGAATTTGCTGAAATGGTTAGTCATTCGATGAAAGTAATCGCAGTTCTTTCTACGTTTACTGAATTCAAATCTAACATAGGTACAACCCTTCAGCTTCCCAGGATATTCATTTCTGAACTGCTAGAAACACTGGTTCTTCAATATTATGATAATGCAACGTTTGTAAAGTGATGAATCAAACTTGCAAAGCAATAAACTAGCCTCATTCTGTTATATCTGCCTACCGACAAAATACAACACGATGTGATCATGCCTAAGTAGTCGACGATTAGGGATTTTTGGGGATTCACTGGTCAAATGAGTGCGGTCACTGAAGTGTCGGGGCGAATATGTAACCCAACGTTTACTAATTGTAAGGGGATGTTCGTGAGAAATTTACGGACAGAGTTAGTCCTTTCTCCCTAAGTTTCTGTTGTGAAGATCGCAAAACATTGGATCGTAAGCGGTGTCCAGCTGATTTCGATGTATACGCCTTTTAGAGGGTATCCTATCAGTCTCCGCAGAAAAGATTTTTTTCATGAATAACGCTCTTGTGAGGATATCGAAGTGCGATATAGTTGACTGGAGAAACATTCTCGAACGTTCGGGTTAAACAGATCAAACATTATAGTCGAAGATGGAAGACTATTCTGTTCAGTTATATTTTGCTTTTCGTTGAAGCAATCACTGCAAATGGTTTTGGCTTATGGTGGGAATTGCCAAATTAGTTAACAGCTTCGACATTGTCCTTTCTTGCTATTTTTTATTATCTAATAATGTGGGCACCTAAACTGATAATGCAGCTTTATGATACGCGCTGGTTATGGGTGACGTCAACGCGATGATTATAATATTGCGGTCATGTTAGGGAGCGAGCACCAAATGTGGAGATCAGCAGGCGCCAATCCCACAATCAATACTTTTTGCTAAAATTTTACAGGGATTGTTTTTTAACAACCATCTTGAATCATTTCTGCCTCTAGTACGGAAACTGAAGAAAAAAAATTCGAGAAAAAATATCAACAGGGGAGCATTCGGTTGCAGCAAACGCTTACTGTCGTGCTGAAAAGTTCAAGGAGCTTCCGTATCACAGCATGTGGTTCTTTTCTGGCAAAATTTTGTACAGAGCTCTGCAACAATGAAGTGAATCATTTCTACCGCACATTTCAAAAATCGGTGTGATAAACTTGAAAAATCAACAGCAAGAAGGAACGCTCTCTTTACTGCTCAAGCGTTGCGCCATCTACAAAGGCAATGTCATTGACTAAAGTTTTAATGGAGTGAATTCAAACAGCGTGAACCTAGTGCAAGCAATATTTGACGAATCGGAAAAGATTTTTTTATGTTTGTTCGAATGCATTCAAATATTCGAGCAAAATTCTCCAATAATTTGTCCTCAGTGATTCACTTTTCATCTCTTTCCGCTGAAGTGAAAAATGTATTTTAATAACGATTCGATACTTCAGGCCTATTTTTGTAATTCATTAACATCCACCAATTCAATACTACATATTTGTAGGATCCACAGAGTGAACAAGAATTACACAATCTCCAAAGGGAACTTGAAGGCGCTTTTAACGTGTTTGTCTCTAATCGTCTAGAACTGTTCGATGACTTGGAAAAAATCGCTGATGAGGTTAATATTAATGTACGAATTATCTATTCGTCTAGCCGGAAGATCGAGCAGTTACTCTGACAGCAGTGGTAAATTGTAGCTAGCGCATTGCAAAAATGTGCGATTTTTGTATGGTCAATATTCGAGTGCACGTCGAGTCTGATAGAACAGCTGAAGAATCACAATGTTACTCACCAACTAGTGCTTATCGGGGACCGGGGACAGCTTTTTCGGCACTCGGATTGCGAAATTTCGTCCCCCACTTTTTCCTTCCTCATTTTTTTTCCATCCCTGCAACGCGCAGGTGTAGATAAGGGTATAATAATGTTTTGCAGGTAACGGGAAATTTTGAGAGCCCGTCTCTGACTTTTTTGAGCTGAAAGTGTTTTCTTGGTCCACGAAACTTAGTCCCCGGCTTTCCCTGTCCCCGACATCCCATTACATTATCATGAACGCATAGACCTACCGACGCATGATTTTTACTGACCATTTCATTTTAACTNCTCATTTCATTCGATATCTTACAATATTTGAATAATATGAAGATTCAACTGATTGTGAGTTATTTTTGTGACCGTGGTGAATATTTGAGGGTGATAGAATGAAGAAAGGTTGTGCAATCTCAACTTTTGCTGGAAGCGGGGTCGGCGTTGCAGCTGGGTTAGCTTCCATAGCCGGTCTTGCTGCTTTTACACCATTAGCGGCCGCTGGTTTGTCTTCCTCTGTTTTTATTCCCTTACTGACATTAACAGTGTGATGATTAATTTTTTTGCGAACCCCTAGAAATTGGTAGATAGTAAACTACTTCAACATACATTAGAATACCTTTTTTGCTGATTAGATTCATGAGATGAAGTGTTCCAGAAGTCAAACAGTGACTTTGTTTTTGTTTGATGCAGGCGGTGTAGCGGCGGGCGTCGTAATCGGAACAGACATCTTTCAATGTACGAAGGACAACGAATTGAGAAATGAAGTAAGACGTCTTCTTGAAAGAGATGCTGAACAGATCGACGAATTGAACCGCGTCTATCAGATAATCACAGGAACGGAGCTGGTCGTTCGATTATTATCATGATTCTTTTGAAATTCTTAAAAATAGGGATCATGCATTTACAGTGACACTCGTAAAGCTGAGCAAAATAATTCAAATATTTTCTTCATATGACCAATCGAAATCTCCCCACATGAGCGGACCGAACAAGGAAACTATGCCTGTAAGGCTTGTAGAACTAAAACACGAGGTGTTTTGATTGTAAAACTGAAAGAGCTTGTAGAACTAAAAGCCACGAGATGCTTTGATACCGTATTACTTGCTGAATCAAAGACAGTAATCAGTAGTTGCTTGTAATTTGTTTGCGGTACAGTCATAATTCATTCTCCACCTTTATTTTCGCGATACTCTATTTTGCTGTCCCACCTTTTAGCATAAAAATGAGCTATCTGTTGTTGATCGGAAATAAAGGTGAGCAGTGCCTGTAGAATGTCACAATTTTGAATGGAAGAACCTTTTAGTTACTCTGCGATTCGACCAATTCCCGTGGTTTTACAAATTACTGCAACTCAAAATGAGGACATGTTTCAGGTGAGTGCCGTTACGACAGAAGCCGCAAGGAGACGGATGGAAACAATGACAACGGTATCAGTTTTCCAAAATTTCATTAAATAATGAGTACTTGTTCATGTGGAGTTTTATAGAAAATCAATGGATCACATTTTCGTTCGTACTCAGTTGGAAATCTGAAAAAGAAATCTCCATCTTTAAAACAGTATATGGAACATCTAGAGACGTAGGATTGTTTGATGTGAATAAGAAAGAATACTAGAATCTCTAGTCATCATAGCGCTTTGTAAGACCTGATTCCTTCGTGAGAATAACACTGTCCGGGGTTGCCCTTTGACGCTGAATCATCGTGAATAAAGCGCACTTATTGGGTATGGTGCTTGCAACTTTCAGTGGACAATGCTCTGTACAGTTTTGCACAATGGATTATGTACACTCATCTGAGGACAACATCAGCAATTTCGTCCTGCCTACCCCGCTAAGACCACTGCCTCCCGCTAAAGACAGCAAGTTCTCTGAAATGCTCTGAAACATTTCATTTTGTTCTCATTGTCGACAATCCTCAAATACATGCAACATTTCCTTCTCTTTTCACCTCTCCAGTTCACATCATCTTCAACTCTTAACTGAAGAAATATATCCATTCGATAATAACTTTCTTTTTCCTATTGTGATGAACAATAATTATATTTTACAAACTGAAAATGAAGCTAAACGCAAGAGTTGCGAAAACGATTCAAATGAAAGCGGCTGATTTCTTGAAGAAGCTGAATAATGAACGATCTTGGATAATAGAATGAATGTCAGAGTGTAAAAGTCAGCAAAGTGTCAAAGAAAGTAAAAAATGCAATCATGAGTGAAGATAGATTGTTTGCTCAGAGAACCTCATTGATGGATGACGACTAATAGTTCATGTGATGGAAATATTTTAAAGCACATAGCTGAAAATCTCAACAATGGCTGAAGGCGGTCGTCATTCTAGGACTTTAAGATCACTGTTCCCTGCTGAGGAAGACAGGCGGTTGAGCACCGTAAATGAATGCGAAGTACCTGACAGCAAGAGTTAGCGCACAACTCAGACTCTGAATTAGGGTCGCACAGGTTGAGGTTTAAGCTTGATTAGGTAAGGCTAAACCCCACACGCATCTGATGCGAAATTGTCAGATATTTTACATGCAATCTACGATTTGTCCAGCCCTAAACGTCGTTTCTTTTAGCATCACTCATTTTGTTGCAGGAAAAGGATACGTTTCCTACAAGTTTCGCTAAGCGAGGACTGGTTCGTTTTTATTGGTACTTATTGCATTCCTTTTGAATTCTGCATCTTTCTGACAAAGTAATTTGAAATATATTGTGTTATCGTGCAATGCATCAGGACAAGCGTTAAGCTGTTGGAAAAACAACTTGTCGAATGGTTACGTGGAAAGGTGTCAGCAAAAATTTCTCCAACCGGGAAAATATCGAAAAGAAACGGTTTAACTGGGAAAATGTCGACAGTATCAATAAGGAAGTGTTGACAAATTATGAACTGTGCATAATGAAGCTAAAGGGTTGGCTATTCAAGGTGTCTGAAGTATTTCAGACTCAAGATCAATTCTGACTGACCACTTGCTTCATCCTGAGACCACTGGAAGGTGCTCCAAATGAAGGGCCAAGGGAGTAAATCTATCAGCATTTTCCATTCTCCTAACACATGCTTTCTCAACCTTGGGTCCGTGGAGCCCCGGGGGGTCCGAGAGAGTGGGGTGAGAGGGGATGCGAGAGTGGGTGCGATAGGAGGAGTGAGTGGGGAGTGTGGGAGAGTATGCGAGGTAAGGTAGGCATACGAGGGCATCTTTAAATTTTCTAGGGGTCCACACAGCGAAAAAGGTTGAAAACCGTTGCTCTAACAGAACAAATTACAAACTGGGGCAGTAGTAGAGTTGGAGTTGAACAGTTGACAAATCAAAATGTCTAAACTAATCCGAGGACGAAGCGAATATCGACTGGTAAATAGTTTCATTTTAGCGAGGGAGGTGTTCAGCATGAATGGAATATGGTGACATTGTCGCCCCTATAACTGGAGAAGGAAAACTTCATTGGATTTTCTAATGGATGTTGGATTTTGCTGAAGTTACCACGTTTTATGGCATATTTTAAAGTATTCTGAGGAAGTGTATTTAAACATGGTGGAACAAAACGCGCAAACGAATAATGTTGGATGCTTATTGGAAAATNAAAGTATTCTGAGGAAGTGTATTTAAACATGGTGGAACAAAACGCGCAAACGAATAATGTTGGATGCTTATTGGAAAATTAAGGATTTTAAGGGTTTTTTTAAGACAACGATGATTAATCTATCGTTGCTTAGCTTAAACAAGAATTCAGTGAAAGCAGATAGATCATCGAACAATCTCATATATAACATCAAATAACATAGACAGGATATATCAACATGTGCAACGGCTTGTTCACCACCCGCTTCTCAGGCGAATGCCGCAGCATTCGCTACGGCGTCTTTCCGAGCTGGACAACAGTTCGCTAAAAAATTTAGTCATCTGATGGAAACTATTGTTGCTCCTTCCATGTTAACAAAATTGTATCGAAACTGTCGATATTCCTTCTGATATACAAAGTTGCATCCTAACACAGTTTATAAAATATTTTAGCTTTCAAGAATAATCATTTATGAACTGACGACTTTTCCGCACTTCAACGTTTTATTGTATCTGTTTTTGAAAGCAACTTCACTTCTCGGCCACATAGAGTTATGAATAACCCAATTACAATGCATTTTTGATCAAGATTTCCAACGCTTTTTGCAATATCTCATTCTCAGGCGGGTGCTAGAGGATTCGCAACATGGGCTTCCCAAGCTGATGCGCAATTCGCTAAAAATGTTAGTTATCTAATGGAAACTGTTGTTGCTCCTTCTAAGTTC